CAAAATATGAATTTAAACTGGTGCCGCAGCATCCCTTCTTCAAAAAGTTGTTTGGTACCTGCAATTACTGAGTCCCTGGGACATACAAGTCATTTTGAAAGAGTAGATCAGCATTTAAGCTGGTGAGTTTCATAAGTATTAAATGATAATGTTTGTATGAACTAAAATGAAATGGGTTGTTTTTTTTTGTTGGTTCCTAGAAAATCCCATATTTTCTACTGGTATAAATGTAGCCTTAAATCAAGACCAATGTTTGTTTCTAGAAAATTGATGTTTTCCCGTATGTGGGTAGTGGTTTAGAAGTTCCAAAATTGTATCAAAATTAGGTTTTTCATGCCTAAAGTAGTTAATTTATGTACGTATAAAATTTCCAATACGTCTAAAAAAACCCGTAAATCAATGTGTTTTTAACACTACATGTGAGTTTTATAACCATGCTATTGACTAGAAATGTCTATACACAATGTTCTTCAGGCGTTGAAATGTTCTGACGTTTGTCACCCCAAATGGTGTACTGTAGCTAACAGTCAGGGCGTAGGTTTGTTAATACCGTATAAATCTATACACAAACACCATGCTCCCCCTCCAAGGGATTCTGGTATATAATACAGGATATGAAATGTGTACTCGAGCGTACATGAAGTTTAATGTCTCACAAAACTTAGTATAAAACAGATTTACGTGTGAAAATATTCGTTTGTTCTTGTATATGAAAGTAACTTCTTGAAATAGTATTTCTAGTATGTAAGAGTTCGTAATGTTCTCGTAAAACTATACCTATTATAGTTTTCTAAAAGTGTGTTTCGTTTGTATAGTAATCCCTAGTGAAATGCTCATTTGTTATGAAAAGTATAGTTTTTGTAGTGCCAAAGATGGACACATATACATATACTATAAGCAGATTGTTTGATTTACATATATACATAATTCATTTCTTATTTCAAAGATAAGATGTTATCGTGGTATATTTTGCATACGAAAGATTTCCCTATAATAGTTATAAATCACATATGATTCCATTGATAAAAAGTGTATAATGAAACTTTATATAACACACGGTAATAATCGGGTGTTTTACTTGTATTCCCCTCCCCCCCTCTCCCTTAAAAGCATATAAAAATATTTATAAAACATTTAAAAGTGTAGATTATAGGGGTATGAACTAACTTGAAAGATCGAAGAAGGCGAGATGAAAACCGAGCAGAATTTCGACTCTAGAAAGCGGATTTTCTCGGGATTCTCGGGAGCACAAACGACCTTCGGGACTTGAGCAAGGAAACCGGGACTTCGGGATAGCACGTGCACGGAAAACGAGGCAAAAACGCAAGAAAGTTGAGAGAAATTGAGCCCTTTCTTCGGAACCCTCGCATCCCTTTTATAGGGGGTGAGAACCACCTCGGTACGCTGGGCGTACGCGAGTACGTTGGGCGTACTCGTGCGTCATGCGTGACCGCTTCCTCGACTGCCTCGGACCTTCGGATGGGACGGGACGTAGCCTCGCATAGGGGCGATGTGGACGATCCGAGGCCTAGGCCTCGAGTACGCTGGGCATACGAGTGTACGTTGGGCGTAACTCGGATCGGCCTGGTGACTCACCCTTTGGATAATACCGAAATTAAATATAAAATTTATATTTTTATTATTTAATAAACTTCAAAAATTCATATCTTCTTCATACGAACTACGTTTTCGACGTTCTTTATATCCACGCGTAGGTGAGACTATACTCTACAACTTTCGTTTAGATTCCGTTGGCAAATTTTGAATTATTTTTATTATTTATTTTTAAAAGGTCGCGGTAAGAAAATTTCGTTAGAAATTCATAACTTCATTATTTGACGTCTGTTTTTTACCAGACTTTTTACCGTTGAAAAACCATTGTCGAGACCTTCGATTCTCATTTAGGTCATTCCGGTCAAAAGTCGCTCGATCTCCGTTTTGAGTTTTTAGTTGTCCGTTGCTAAGCTGAGCTTGGAAAATTTATAACTTCCTTATACGAAGTCATATTTGGGCGTTCTTTTTACGTACGATCACGGTTTGATGACATCTAACATAGTAGGTAATTTAATTAGAGATTTTTGGACATTTTATTTTCGAAGTTAATTTAATTATAACAAAAGTGGTTACAATACTTGACTTTTTAGGTCGTTACATAGAGTTGAAATATCGGGTTGTCACACCTATGGTCCTAAATATGTGGACCTTCTGGCCCTAACTCTGTAGACCTTCCGGTCCTAAATCTGTAATCTCTGAATCATACATATCACAAATCACATAGAAATAATGCGGTGTATCACATCATATAAATAGCATACAAGATACTCTGTCACATAACTCTAATTACCACTCTTGGTAAGGTATAGTGAGAAGACTCACCTCGGGTAACTCGGATAATCTCGAACTCGAAATACTGATCTAGCCTCCGCCTAATCACATAAAATAAATTCTCCTAATCAATATGGCTCTCAAAGGCTAGACTAGTCCCTCTCTAAATCCCTTAGAAGGGTAAAAGACCATTTTACCCCTCAATTGGCTCAAAGGTCCAAATATTGACCAAACCCTAAAAGTCAATGAAAGTTAATCCTCCGGAGTACGCGGTGCGTACCAACTCTATACGCTGGGCGTACTCGGATGCTTCATAGAATCGGGGAGCTCGACCCCCTATGTTGCACGTACTGGAATTACGCCCAGCGTAAGTCCCAGTCTTGTGATCTTTTTTATTTTTGGTCTTAAACGGTTAAGACATAAGCTCCAATTCTAGATCTGACTATTCTAAGGCCACTTAACCCATAAAGTCGAAACCTTTAAGCCTTTGCATGGTTGTAAAGGCCACCAATCACTCCAAACACCTTTCCTTTTTCCTCATTAAGCCCTCATCTCATGCAAGACTTAATATCCACATCCAATATTGGATTTTTATGAACCTATAACACATATTACACTTGAATAGGGCAGATCTAAGCTTATGGAGACCCTTTGCTCATAAAGTCTCCACCTTGGAACCAAAACCCCTAAAATGGGTCCATAAAGCACAAATTAAAGATGACAAGGAAAGCTTTGAGCTTTTTACCTCCAAGTGAAGCTCCAATCTCTGTAGAACTCGAATCTAAGCTTGTCCTCCAACTTCTAGCTTCCACAATGGCCTCCTCTTCTTCTTCACCACAACAAAATGGCACTTTCAAGCTTAAGAGCACACACACAATCTTGTAACGGGGTTTTGCTCTCTTAAGGTTTCACTCTCTATAATATGGTGGCTAGGGTAAGGACCATATCATTCCTTTTATAGTCCTCAAGTCTCATTTAGGGTTTTGCATTAGAGCCAGCTACGCCCAACGTAATTTTGGTACGCCCAACGTACCTGATTGAGTTCGCGTCCATAATAAGTGCATGAGTACGCGCAACGTACTCTTTAGTATGCCCAGGGTACTCATTTGCAACATTTTTCACTTAGAGGCTAAACTTGACAATTTGGTAAAGAAGAAGGGTAAAATAGATGTACCTGAATTTCGGGATGTTACACATTCTAGTACTTACCATCTTGAATATGATGGTCAAACATACGTAGTCAATTATTCACTTAGCTCATACCTACGATGTTTCGCAAGCAATGAACTAAAAACCTAGATCTATTACCTAGTCCTATCGAGTTTTGGTATAACTCCTCCCATCATATAACCTATGGAGTGACATTATTCAAAGTTGTTTATGGCCTACTCTCACTTACAATACTAGCTTATACATTCGACTCCTATGTTGTCGCTTTTATTGATGATATCCTCCACACATATTTACAAATTATGGCCACCTTGAAGGCCCATATGCGACAGGGAATGATTGCCTAGGACGATCATCGCCAACATGAGAAGGTTTTTGTAATTGGGGATTGGGTATATGTATGTCTACAGGTTATCTCCAACAATCTATCCAAAACCCAGCTTTTCATAAGCTCGCTAAACGTCACTTTAGCTCTTTTCAGATATTGGTTCGCATCGGGGAGGTTGCCTATCGTCTGGATTTACCTCTAGAAAGTAAAATCCACCTGGTTTCACGTATCACTATTTGAGCCACTCATATGACGACCCTCACCATCAACTAACTCCTATCCCTCAACTAGCTTACAACAACATACCTCTCATGCAACCATAACATATTTTGGGCTATATTCTCCATTCATGTGATCGACACCACCAACCCCAAATCCTTCTCAATTGGGTTGGAACGAATAATGGTGAAGCCACCTGGGGAAATTTAGTAGACATTCAACGAGTGTATAAATGTGTATTCCTCTTCTGCCATTCCTGATGACCTTAGAGACAAGGTCTCTCTTGAAAGGGACGACTTTTATGAGATCAGGAGCCCAAAACCACATTAGCCCACCCGATGAGATATACATAGGCCTGCCCAAGGGGAACCAGACCCTTCCAGCAAGATCCCGGGATAAGCCCAATTTCTAAAGTTGAATAAACCAAAGGAATGTGACCGATAATCCCTTGATTGTTGCTATCACGATCCATGATATTTTACGTGATCGGTGATTCCTTGATTGTTGCATCATCTTCATCCTTTTGTTTAATCTTGTATGTTGCATTAATTTTTGGTAGAAATAGGAACGATGCATTGTCACGTTGCAGGACCAGTGAGATCACAAGAAAAGATAGGGGACATTGGCAATACACTGTGAAAGAAACTTACAGATGGTAATTTTTTGACTTTTATTGCATAAGTTGCAAAATATATGTTTTGTGTTACAGTAGAATTTAAAATTTAAAGCCTACTAAATATAAAAAAGTGACAAATGTACAAACGTATAAACTTTATAGAAGTATTATGGTAATTTCTCCAATCCATGCCCAAAATGAAACATTACGGTGAAGTTTAGTGACCACACATATAATAAAAGCTTTACTCATCAAAACAAACGTTTATAAAACGTAATTGCTGCTTAATAAAACTAGCCTTATCTTTACAACGAACTTCTTAGGGTTGCAACAAACTTTCATCGTGATTTCAAGCTGTATGAAGTGTTATTTGGCGAGTATACAACTTAGGGGCTCAGAGTAACAAGTGATGAAACTACAGGGGCCAATGGAAAAATTATAAACATTAAAAACTGTACGGTACAACTCAGTAATGCATGTCCAAATTCAATCGGAAAAATAATCCTCGCCGTATATCTATCGGCAGTAAAGATCGGAGGGGACGTATTTTGATCTGCGTGGATGGTTCGATCATCGCCATGGCGTCGTCTCTTTCTCCTTCTACTTCTCTGACCAATATTCCTTCTGACCCAGGCATATTCCCATTTCTTACTCCCTCTATACTAATATGGATTTTGATACATTTCATTTACCCATGCTTTCAGGGTTTTGTGATTCTATTCGTGGTTCTGTAAATTTCTCGTCTTATTGTGTTCTTCCATGCTTAATGATTTAGGGTTTATGGTGTTTGCACTTGTTTAACATTTGCCGCACAAGACCTGCGAGACTATCTCGTTAAAACCTACTCGTCCCCAAACCCTTATTGAAATTGCAGTGGTTTATTGATTTGGCAGAAAAGTAGCTGTGCGCTTATTTTGATCGTTGCAGATTTTTGATTGTTTTAGACTTTTAGTTTTACTCAGAGTGATTAGGTTTTCTTTTCTTTTTTAAGTATTTGACTAACAGTCAAACAATTACTTTCGTAACCAGTTGTTGCTATTTTCATGCTAAAGTCGAGTAATTGATATCGATCTTGTTTTTGAAATCGCAAATAATCAGCGCTGTTTGCCGATTTTGGTCGTCGCAAATCGTTGATTGTGTTAATTTTATTTTGCTCAGCATGATTAGGGTTTTATAAAGCATTTGACTAATAGTCAAACGACTATCTATAAAAACAATTTTGTTGCGATTTCCATGGGAAGACGGGCGTAATTGATATGAACATCGTCAAAAACTAATCGCCTGATTTGTAATCTAATTATCAAATTGTTTTTTCTTCCGAACGGTTTTAGCCCTAATTTTGGATCGAACGGAGTATTTTTTCTTGAAACGATATAGTTGATTACAATGTAGAACCCTAAATCTGGTCAGTGATGAAAACCACTAACCCCTACTCATCTGATTATATTATCTAATATTTTCAGATCTGAAACTGTATGATCTTTGCATATACAACACTTAGATTCTTTACACAGTGTTATTATCTATTAATTTGAAGTTGTTTTTCAGGTGGGGAAGCAGTTCCTGTCCACATTGTTACTAATGCAAGCCAACTTCCATCTGAATTCTTACAACCATCTCCTGATAATAAATTGGTGATTGGTTTTGACTGTGAAGGTGTCGACCTCTGTAGAAATGGAACCTTGTGTATCATGCAGGTAAAATGCAATTCTCTGATTTCATGTTCTTAGAACTTATTCAACTTTGCTTTTGGTTGATTTCTGTATGGCTTTCTTTTCTGATCTTGCAGTTAGCCTTTCGAGATGCCATATATCTGGTTGATGCAATTGAAGGTGGAAATTCACTTATTGAAGCCTGTAAGCCTGCACTTGAATCTAGTCACATCACTAAAGTAATTCATGATTGCAAACGAGATAGTGAGGTCTATAATTTTGATATAATCCACTTCTAGCCTTTTTCACTTTTTTCCACAAACGTGTTTGTGTGATCCTTTTTATTTTACTTGTATTTCCGTAGGCATTGTATTTTCAGTTCAACATCAAATTGCACAACGTTTTTGATACCCAGGTGAGTTCCTTTTAATTCTTCTTTTCTTCTTTCAGAATTGAAATTGCTGAGTATTTTATGTTTTGAAAAAATGCAGATTGCATACAGTTTAATTGAAGAACAAGAAGGTGGGACAAAAATCCCAGATGACTACATATCATTTGTTAGTCTGCTTGCTGATCCACGTTACTGTGGTGTATCGTATCTTGAGAAGGAAGAAGTTAGAGTACTTCTGAGGAAGGTATGTTGTATGTGTTACGAAAATATGATTATTAATAATAAATAAATATTGTGAAGGTTTTAATGAATGGAATGGAATTGAATTTATGAATCAGGACCCAAACTTCTGGAAGTATAGACCATTGTCTGAATTGATGATCCGAGCAGCTACAGATGATGTGCGTTTTCTTCTGTACATATATGACAAGATGGTTGTAAAGATGAATGAAAAATCATTGTGGTATCTTGGTGTTCGTGGTAGTCTTTATTGTCGATGTTTCTGCATTTCTGATAACAATTATGCAGATTGGCCCCCTCTCCCTCCAGTTCCAGGTTTGTTAATTTACTAATTTGACCCTTTGCAATAGGTATTGATTGGTAAATGGTATTGCAGAGAATCTTGTGGTAAATGAAAATGATCTGGAGGAAGAAATCCTATCGGTTGTTGATGTTCCACCAGGGAAGATGGGGCTTGTTATTGGTAAAAGAGGAGCTTCCATTTTAGCTATTAAGCAGGCTTGCAAGTAAATTATTTTTTTTATATATAATATAATTTTGGGGTTATCGTTTTATTAATTTTCCATGGATGAGTTTGTTTTTGTTTGTGTTTTGCTTTTAGTGCTGAAATATTCATTGGGGGTGCTAAGGGACCACCAGACAAGGTCAGTAGTACATAGTAATACCACTTTTTTTTTTTTTTTTTTTTTTTTTTTTTTTTTTTTTTTTTTTTTTTTTAAATAAAAAAGCTTCATTACTATTATTATTATTATTATTATTATTATTATTATTATTCATATAATAATAGAGTTGTGATGTTGTTATATGAGTTATGTAGGTGTTTGTAATTGGGCCAGTGAGGCAAGTGAGGAAAGCGGAAGCCATTGTGAGGGGGAGGATGGTGGAAGTCTATTACTAAATTACTAAGGTCGTCTAAGATACAAAATGTTCTGTAATCACTCACTTGTCCTTCTTCATATACTTTGTAATAAGCCAACTAGCACTAGCCAAGTGGGAAGAATATGGTTACTTTATGTTTCGTGATTGGGCATGAAAATGGTTACTTCACCCGAACATAGCTTTAGTGCTTTGACCCGAACTACCCCAATTTTTTCCTTTTGGAAAATATGCATTTTTAAACTCAATTTTGCTTAAATTCTCATGATATTTTTGGTATGAAAATAACATGTTTTTATTTGCATTATTAAAATAACGAAAAGCCGAATCATAGATCACTTGATAACATTGTTTTCCAGTTCTTGAATCATGGTAGATACGTGAAACTCAAGTTGCATCAACAGATGTGATAATCATAAAAAGTGAGATGTTTGTGGTTTGCATGTTGGTATAAACCGTATAGCATGAAATATACGTTGCTATTTTGCATGAAGGTAAAAATCCATTACTATGAACAAAAACCATTTCGTGTATTCTTTAGAAAATAAAATTAAGAATACAATACTTAAGAGGAATACAACTAATTCAAATTTGCCGGATCACTAGAGATGGTCCTTCACTTCGATTGGCTCTTTAATATTTTAAACATCATTGACAATACTTGATCAAAAAATATAAATAAACAGGGGCAGTAAGCATGTCTAGGCATGGATTTTTAAACAAAATTTGTTTCTTTTGAATGCACTACTAACTGCTAACCTCTAATTGTATTAATCCTTGTTCAAGACTTTGGGGACTTTAATGTAAGGCGCCTCATAACTTGGGACAGCAGCTATAATAGCATCCCTGTTACCAAATGATTACAATGTTCTTAGATTAAGTATGAACAATAAACCATTGCGCATTTTACAAACAGAAAATAAATAAATACCTATTCTCAAATGTTTCAGGACTATCTTCACGAAAGCTTCCTGCTTCAGTATCTAAAAATAAATCACAATTGATGCAATGTTATTAAAGCAAGCAACAAGTATAAAACTTTCAAATAACTAAGCAAACTTGCATCTAAGCACCTGCACGAATAGCTGGTTCAATACTTTGAAGATCCACATCTTGGAGTTGCCCAAACCTGTTCCAAATTATCCAAGTATGTGAAGAAAATTTATATGATATTGGTGTATAAACACAAAACAAACATAACCACAATACAAAGATTGAAGATAAGTTTATTTAGTAGCTTGTTTGAACAATTGACATCATATCTGCAGAAGGTGAGAGGAATACCAGTCTACTACTTGCTGAATTTTGGGAGCAAACTCTTCAGCCTATAGTGCATCACAAAAAAAAGAACTATTACTAATATCTTGTCTTGATACACTTATCATGACAATTGACACAGTCTTTTGTTTTAACAATTTGAAAGATGTATTGTGGTGGGTACCTCTTGTGGAGTGAGAGAGATACGGGCGGTTTCTGCTAAACGGGTCACATTGGGTCGCTCCAAATTGGAATGAATCGAGTAGTTGCGACCTCCAACCCTAACCCTCTTTTCATTCTGTGTAAGGAGTTGATGAAATCCAGATCTTGAGATGTGATTGAGCAGAATACTTTCAGATAAAAATGCTGGTGCTAGCACAAGTAATGCTCGGCTTCCCATTTGTCTCTATTATCTGAAACAAACCTCCATACATGCATCAATGAGTACCACTGTTTGTTGATTCTTGATCAAATTTAATTGACATTTAGATATTGAGCATAAATTTGAACCTAGTTAAGATATCTTAAATTGCAAAAAATATGTATCCCTGGGTATATAGTATACCCATATTTGTATCAATCTAACAAACATACAAAAAGATTGTTTATAATCTTCATAACTTCCCACTATAATCTGTCTTCTATGATTACGAACAAAGTTGCAGCAAAAATGAGAGCTACAACATCCAAAACCTCAAGAGTGTGAACTAGATTTGATAACTGAAAACATGCATATTAAGAAAGTATTATCCCTCTCAGGCATTTGATCAAACAGCTTGCCTGCAAACACATTCCATTTTTTACAGAACACTGTACACATCAGATTTCATACATTTGAACATCAAACACAATTAGCAAATCAGTAGCAGCAAATCAATTATCAATGAAAGTAAGAAAACACCTAACAGAATTCCAGGGAAAAACTTGAACTTGAAGATTGATATTAAAAAAATACTACCGAATTTTCGTTTGTGAAGAAGGAAATCACAGGAAAAGAAAACCTTCTGGATAAAAAGAAATCGACCAACAACATCAATTGGCGATTTCAAAGAAAGCGGAAAAAAGAAGAAAGAAAGCAGAAAAGAAGGAAGAAATATGGGACCTGGGGTTGAGTGCGACGGAGTTGCGGCTATCCAATGTCTCCGGCCGGTGGCTTCACAGGGGAGAGTCGACGTGAGGAGCAGATAGCAAAAAGGCGATGTTGTAATGGTAAGTACAAGGAGTAAGGTTTTAGAGAAAATTTCACAAATGGTCCTTATGGTTTTAATTTTGGCTTCAAAACATTCTTTACGAAACTGTTTTTGCATGAACGGTGCATTTGAACAAAACTGTAGACACCAATGGTTGGATGTCCGTTAGATGGATCCGTTAAGTTGAAGTTTTTTAAATAAGGATCATTTCTGACAATTTATAAAACTTAGCTTAAGGATCATTCATGAAACTAAAAGAAAATCTATTAAATCTTGTATTAATTATCATAAATCAAATATAAATAAAATAAAAAAAAAACAAAAAACTAAAATATAGTAAAATTAAAATTTATAAAAATAAAAAAATATATAACTTACTAATTTTAATCATGCAAATATATTTTATGTTATATAGGAAAATCTTCATAAATCGTCCATGTGGTTCCAAAAAAACGAATTTGATCTTTATTTATTTATTTATTTATTTTGTCTTCAAGGATGGTCCTTGTGGTTTGAAAACCTTCAATGGATCGTCCCTATGGCTAACACTATCTATTTTTGTCTGTTAAGTCGGAACATGTGCAAGACATATGAGGAAAAAATCGTCTTTTACAAACCACGAGACTATTTATGAAAAAAAAAATTATATTTTATATTTAGACTAAACTCCTTCCCTCTTCTGTTCATTGTGTCTTGCCTCCTCCTTCTTCTAGACCCACCTCCGACAAGACCTAATGTTGCCTGGAAAATGTTTCCTACCTATTGTTTCTTTTTATCCAGGGATATAAGTTCATCAAAGCATCTTTTTTTTGTTAAAAATTGTCGCATCTCATCTGCGGAGTGAAAAGAACTAACAAATGTTATCATACTTTTCAAATCCTTGACACCAAAAATAGTTATAGGACCCAAACCAATTACCATCATTCTCAACAAGTTTAGTAGCAAAAGTTATCCACTGCACCTCCTTAACACCAAGAGCACCTCCAGATCCATGATCCCAACTAGTTGTAAAATCCAAAGGCTTCTCCAAACCAACCTCAGTATCGGGTTCTTCACTCAGGCTATCAAATGTAAATGAATGTGAAGAAACCAACAGACAACCATGGTCTAAAAAGTACCAGTTAGCGCATGTTTGGTATCCTAATCCCATAGCATAATTTTACATTTGAACAGTCTTGGTGCATCAAAATCAAACAATATTGATCCCTAAAATAAATGAATACAATACGAAATTAACTTAGATATGAATATGGCAATTTGAAGAAAATTGCATTACGTATACAAATCTGTACGTAGAGAGAGAAAGAGAGTGAGTATATCGGAGAAGATACATGAAGCAACAGTTGAGATCTGGAATATTCCAATGATAAGGAGATAACAAGAAGCAACAGGTGGGAGGCATTTTCCAGGCGACATTAGGTCTTGTCGGAAGTGGGTCTAGAAAAAGAAGGAAGAGGTGTGAGAACTAGAATTTGATCAGTTGCGTAGGGACAAGGTTTGAGAATACAAACCTTGAATGAATGCTTAAGATCAATTTATGCTTACAATATAAAGTTCAAGTTTAGACTGGAAAGACCAGTCAAGTCTTAGATATTATATTCAACAAATAATCAAGACATTAAATGAATAATAAAAGTAAATGATCAAGGTAAAGCTAATAAATGAAGAACGAGAATAATGTTTGAAAAAGATTTGAGATAACTAAGTAGAATGCCAAAAGTTGAGCAAAGATTCGTTTTTATCTTGTATTGAATGCTCCTCTATATAGGAGAGAATGTTACAGTGAATTAACTGAGTAACTTACATCGGATTGGACAATAGAACTATTTCTGACATTATGATTGTCGAATACAACAAAAGGCTAAGTCTTATGTAACGTTACATCAATACAAGGATAATTAATGACAAAAGACAAAAAAATGTTATTCCGAATCAGCATACATTTCGGACGTGAGTGTCACTCCGGAATGTGTTCCTCATCAAAATGTTCTTCCTCTTCTTCTCTTCAACTCCGGATAGATTCTGGAGCACTTTTCACTTCGAAACCAATAAGCTTCGGAATAGGTACTTAGGATTGCTAGATGTTCACTTTTAGGTTCCAACAATCTCCCCCTACGTGAACTTAGCAATCCAACAAGCTTAGATCTTTTCTTCCTTGATGAAGGTGTAAGCTTGGAACAACCAATCGCAAACTTCAATGTACCATGCCAGATGACTCACAAACTTTGCCTTCACATGTTCCAGAGCATTAGTCTTGGATGCATGTGAAATGAATTTCTTTAGAGCTTTGGTAGGAATCAGGTGTTTGTCCAGGACTCGGAAGCAGTCCTCCTTGTTTGTTTTTCTTGTAGTGTAGACAAACCCTAGAACAGGCTCTTCAATAGGACCATCTGCAAGGAGTTCAGCTTCTGGAAAGATGAAATCTATCTTAGGAACAAATTGCTCAGTTCTGTAAAGATAGGCAAGTTCATAATCTCTTCGGCTGAACTCTGCAACGTAATCATGCAGGAAGCTTAGTGCAACATGATAAGCTCCCATACTGAGGTCATCCTTTTGATTTTCTCTGAAGTAGGCGGCCAATGTAAGAATGTCGTTTGGATTCATTGATGGGAAATCAGCATCAGTAAGTGTCAGGGGAGTGGGCTTGTTCCGGAGAATGTGAAAACGGAACAACGGACAGTGTCGTTCAAACTTCACCAGGATTTTTCTTCTGAGACCATTGATCTGAGTAATCTTCTTCTTCGACCATACTTCCTTGAATGACATTGCTTTATTAGAGTAGAAAGTATCAAGTTTTTCTCTTTCTGTTCGAATGATCACTTCCGGAGGGTCTATGGGATGAAATGGAGCGAACTTGGTGTAATACTTGTTGTAGGAGAGAGAGAGAGAGAGAGAGAGAGAGGAAGATCAAGTTGCTCAAAGTCACTTGTAGGAATGTCATAGGACATGACTGGAATGATTTCGTGACTCTGAAGGATGCATTCACGGCAAATAGGAGATATCCTACGCATTGGGTCAAGATTATCTTTCAGAGCCTGGATCCGAATGCGTTCTTCAAGAGCTTGATTTGTTTCCTCCTGAGACCATCCATGTTTTTGTTTGAGAGGAGGTCCAGAGTGCGGAGCTGTCATTGGTTTCTTGCCTTTGTCTCTTTGAAGTGCAGAGATAACCAACTTCATAATCTCATCAATCGTGAATTCCTTCTTCTGGAATATCATCAGGGATCCGAAGTGGAGAGCCCTGATCGATTGGAGCAATCTTGGGATCCAGAATGGGAGGCGGTACTGAAGGAGTGGTCCGGAATGCTTGTACTGTCAGGAGAGTTTTGGCCTTAGCCATTTTAACAGCTTGATCAAAAACGTCCTGAAGTGAGGATGGACAGGAAACTACGGACCATGTCCTCTTTTGTTCTTTAGTAATAACCTTCGGAATGGACATCTTGGGAGCTTGAAGAGCAAGGATTCCCTTAGGAGCATCATCAGAAACATATTCGCTTTCATCTTCACTTTCTTCATCTTTGTCGCTTTTGGAAGGAGAGAGAAACTGAACTTCATCGCCTTCTGATTCTTCTTCATCTCGGAGAGAGAACTAAGTGGCCGATTTCCATGTTTTATTGGGTCCTTCTCTTCCTCTTGCATCGGTAACCCGGTGGACCGGTGCAAGCAATAAAGAGACTTTGAGATCATCAAACTTGGAAAAGACTTTCTGAAGGCCTGTTGTAAGTTGAAGAGACAGAGTATCGTAGGCTTCAGCGGTGGGAGCTTGCTCAGTAAAGTGCTTGAACGTGCTGCTAAGGATAGCAATCATCTCATCAAATTTCCGGTTCGGAACATCAACAATGCTCCAAGTTGAATGAAGAAGTTCGATGAGGACTTGTTGAATGATCATGTTCATCTCATCCTTTTGTTTAGTTTCCTTCTCCAATCTTTGAAATTTGCTTCTCATGGAGAATGTGGGTCTGCTTGATTATATCATTGGTAGAAGACACCAAGTCATCGTGGACTTTGAGCATTGAAGAGATAGTGTTGAGGTAGTTGTCAACCAGAACGTCGTATTTGGAGTCAACCGTGTGCCATTTAGTGCTTCTCTGACTAAGTCAGGCTAACTTTGACGATCTAGATATACTAACGAACTTAGGAAGCAAGAGTTACATCAAGGGACACTTCAAGAAAGCTTCTATTATATAACTCAACTTCTTTACAAGGCAACTTCTTGATGGATCCTACAAATGACACATCCTTCCTATTTATAGGTACCTTACACCTCCTCAAATGAAAGTTTCTAGGTCCTGATTATTCTTGACTAATCTAGATTCTTCCTATTATATACATAGTCTTTACAAGAATCTAGAATATGGTATACTTGTCTACGATGCTCTAGAAATCTCTAGGTTGTCCCAACATTATCCAAATCTCTCTTGTATGATCTAGCGTGTTCTAGATCGTTTCAAAGTCTTCCGGGTCGTTCTATCTTCGTCTAGTGCCTTCTTGATTATTCCAGATTGTTCTCCTTTGTTCCATGAACATCTATAATATTATAGCAACTTACAGGGTCCCGTAGAGCATTCTTGATCTCTCCGGAGACTTCTCGAGTATACTTGATCATTCCGGAGTTTTCTAGACGATCGTGGAATTTTCCAGAAAGTTGGTCCGTGACACCGCGTACTCTAGCAACTCTGAAATTACGGAATTGGCATTGGAGATTAAACTTTCCAAATAGAGCATAACTGAAGGGTTAAATCAAATACTTGAAAAATAGATGTTACAACTCTTCCTCGCTTGAACTAGACTTCGTCCTCGAAGTTTGCTGCCACAAATAGATCTGGGTAGTGCTCTTTCATCTCCGCCTCCGACTCTCACGTCCATTCGGAACCCTTCCAATGTTGCCACTGGACCTTGACCGGTGACACTTTCTTGTTGCACAGTGCCTTCGTCTTCCGATCTAAGTTCTGATGGGTTATGAGCATATCTACAATCCTATGTGATCATGCAACCCTAATTGTTTTGGATTTAAGTTTTTCACTAACTGAATATGAATTGAATACCAATGCGATAAAGCCTAGATCTAGCATACAATTTTGAAAATTATATAATCAAAAGGGTTTTGATGATTCCCTTATTAGTTATTTAGTAATGACTAGAACACCTTGAAGATCCTTGACTCTTGAAAGCTTAGTGCCTCAAATGTTGCACCTCTAATGATTTACAAACACCCAATGCAAGAGGATGAGAGGAGAGAGACAAGAAAATCGACTAGGGTTAGGAGCACTTGCTTAGGCCGAAATTCTAATCCTTATGGAGCTTTATATAGGGCTAGGTTGCTTATTCTTAAAGTTGGACTTGAATAAGGAAACCCTAGTTCCCATCCAAAACCATAAGCAACCCATGGACCTCCTAAAGCAAGTCCTTAGACGAAATCTTATAAGGCTACCCTATAAATTTCGTTCACTCCATTTCATGGAGTTCTTAAGCCTAGTTTCACAACAATCAATGATTTGCAGAACAATCACTCCATTATTAATCAATTCCTTTAATCCCAAAATTAATCTCAGACTAATTTATGATTAATTACTAATTAATAATATGATTTCCAAATAATATATCAATCATTTAGTATATTAATAAAAGTTTTGAGTACCAATTTATTATTTCAAATAACAAATTCTACGCTCTCTCCACTAGTCATCTTGTCAAGTTGCATGAGTGAAGGCAACTTAAAAGGACCATGCTATTATCAAATCAAGTACATACCAATTATAGTTATGATCTTAGACAACCTAATCCAACAAGATCACCATCGGTCTCTCCATATAATTCAGGCGATCATCAACCTGAATGTCATCCAGAGGAATAACTACGGAGTCATCGACCACACACTTCTAAAGCTAAGACACATGGAAGGTGTTATGAATCTGGTTGAGCTCATCGGACAAATATAGTTGGTATGCGACCTTGCCTCCCTAGGCCGAAATCCTAAAAGGTCCAATGAATCTTAAGACTAGATTCAAACATTTTAAATTTTCTTGTTATTTCTTCTCCTCTAATTCGAGTTAGGGTTTGGGGATTTCCTTAAATTTGATATTTTCTTTTATTAGGAAGATTTTTATGAATCATAAAACTAGATTCAAACATTAGATCATCAATGTATCGT